TACCTGGTGTCTCACTCTACCTGGAGTCTCACTCTACCACGTGTCTCACTCTACCTGGTGTCTCACTCTACCTGGTGTCTCACTCTACCCGGTGTCTCACTCTACCTGGTGTCTCACACTACCTGGTGTCTCACTCTACCTGGTGTCTCACTCTACCTGGTGTCTCACTCTACCTGGTGTCTCACCTGATGTCTCACTATGCCTGGTGTCTCACTCTACCTGGTGTCTCACCTGGTGTCTCACTCTACCTGGTGTCTCACTCTACCTGGTGTCTCACCTGGTGTCTCACTCTACCTGGTGTCTCACTCTACCTGGTGTCTCACTCCACCTGGTGTCTCACTCTACCTGGTGTCTCACTCTACCCGGTGTCTCACTCTACCTAGTGTCTCACTCTACCTGGTGTCTCACTCTACCCGGTGTCTCACTCTACCTAGTGTCTCACTCTACCTGGTGTCTCACTCTACCTGGTGTCTCACTCTACCTGGTGTCTCACTCTACCTGGTGTCTCACTCTACCCGGTGTCTCACTCTACCCGGTGTCTCACTCTACCTGGTGTCTCACTCTACCTGGTGTCTCACTCTACCTGGTGTCTCACTCTACCTGCTGTCTCACTCTACCTGGTGTCTCACTCTACCCGGTGTCTCACTCTACCTGGTGTCTCGCTCTACCTGGTGTCTCACTCTACCTGGTGTCTCACTCTACCTGGTGTCTCACTCTACCTGGTGTCTCACTCTACCTGGTGTCTCACCTGGTGTCTCACTCTACCTGGTGTCTCACTCTACCTGGTGTCTCACTCTACCTGGTGTCTCACACTACCTGGTGTCTCACTCTACCTGGTGTCTCACTCTACCCGGTGTCTCACTCTACCCGGTGTCTCACTCTACCCGGTGTCTCACTCTACCTGGTGTCTCACTCTACCTGGAGTCTCACTCTACCTGGAGTCTCACTCTACCTCGTGTCTCACTCCACCTGGTGTCTCACTCTACCTGGTGTCTCACTCTACCTGGTGTCTCACTCTACCTCGTGTCTCACTCTACCTGGTGTTTCACTCTACATGGTGTCTCACTCTACCTGGTGTCTCACTCTACCTGGAGTCTCACTCTACCTGGTGTCTCACTCTACCTGGTGTCTCACTCTACCTCGTGTCTCACTCTACCTGGTGTCCCACTCCACCTGGTGTCTCACTCTACCTGGTGTCTCACTCTACCCGGTGTCTCACTCTACCTGGTGTCTCACTCTACCTGGTGTTTCACTCTACCTGGTGTCTCACACTACATGGTGTCTCACTCTACCTGTTGTCTCCACCTGGTTTCTCACTCTACCTGGTGTCTCACTCTACCTGGTGTCTCACTCTACCTGGTGTCTCACTCTACCTGGTGTCTCACTCTACCTCGTGTCTCACTCTACCTGGTGTCTCACTCTACCTGGTGTCTCACTCTACCTCGTGTCTCACTCTACCTCGTGTCTCACTCTACCTCGTGTCTCACTCTACCTGGTGTCCCACTCCACCTGGTGTCTCACTCTACCTGGTGTCTCACTCTACCCGGTGTCTCACTCTACCTGGTGTCTCACTCTACCTGGTGTTTCACTCTACCTGGTGTCTCACACTACCTGGTGTCTCACTCTACCTGTTGTCTCCACCTGGTGTCTCACTCTACCTGGTGTCTCACTCTACCTGGTGTCTCACTCTACCTGGTGTCTCACTCTACCTGGTGTCTCACTCTACCTGTTGTCTCACACTACCTGGTGTCTCACTCTACCTGGTGTCTCACTCTACCTGGTGTCTCACTCCACCTCGTGTCTCACTCTACCTGGTGTCTCACTCTACCTGGTGTCTCACTCTACCTGGTGTCTCACTCTACCTCGTGTCTCACTCTACCTGGTGTCTCACTCTACCTCGTGTCTCACTCTACCTGGAGTCTCACTCTACCTCGTGTCTCACTCTACCTGGTGTCTCACTCTACCTGGTGTCTCACTCTACCTCGTGTCTCACTCTACCTGGTGTCTCACTCTACCTCGTGTCTCACTTTACCTGGTGTCTCACTCTACCTCGTGTCTCACTCTACCTGGAGTCTCACTCTACCACGTGTCTCACTCTACCTGGTGTCTCACTCTACCTGGTGTCTCACTCTACCTGGTGTCTCACTCCACCTGGTGTCTCACTCTACCTCGTGTCTCACTCTACCTGGTGTCTCACTCTACCACGTGTCTCACTCTACCTGGTGTCTCACTCTACCTGGAGTCTCACTCTACCACGTGTCTCACTCTACCTGGTGTCTCACTCTACCTGGTGTCTCACTCTACCTTGTGTCTCACTCTACCCGGTGTCTCACTCTACCTGGTGTCTCACTCTACCCGGTGTCTCACTCTACCTCGTGTCTCACTCCACCTGGTGTCTCACTCTACCTGGTGTCTCACTCCACCTGGTGTCTCACTCTACCTGGTGTCTCACTTTACCTGGTGTCTCACTCCACCTGGTGTCTCACTCTACCGGGTGTCTCACTCTACCTCGTGTCTCACTCTACCTGGTGTCTCACTCCACCTGGTGTCTCACTCTACCCGTTGTCTCACTCTACCTCGTGTCTCACTCTACCTGGTGTCTTACTCCACCTGGTGTCTCACTCTACCCGGTGTCTCACTCTACCTCGTGTCTCACTCTACCCGGTGTCTCACTCCACCTGGTGTCTCACTCTACCTGGTGTCTCACTCCACCTGGTGTCTCACTCTACCTGGTGTCTCACTCTACCTGGTGTCTCACCTGGTGTCTCACTCTACCTCGTGTCTCACTCTACCTGGTGTCTCACTCTACCTCGTGTTTCACTCTACCTGGTGTCTCACTCTACCTGGTGTCTCACTCTACCTGGTGTCTCACTCTACCTCGTGTCTCACTCTACCTGGTGTCTCACTCTACCTGGTGTCTCACTCTACCTGGTGTTTTACTCTAGCTGGTGTCTCACCTGGTGTCTCACTCTACCTCGTGTCTCACTCCACCTGGTGTCCCACTCCACCTGGTGTCTCACTCCACCTGGTGTCTCACTCTACCTGGTGTCTCTCTCTACCTAGAGGGACACTCCGGATGCCTGGCTGTGCAGTCCCAGGAATGGAAAATGGCAACTGCAGATTGTCCACGTTTTATTGTCTAGGTTAAACTGCCCGCGGTCACTAGCCTGCCCATTTATCTCAAACGTCTGTTGAACCTATTAACAAAAGAAACATTCATTCAGTGGTATAACTTTGCTCTTAAAATAAATCAGCTGCAAATGCAATGATGTATGGCAACACAGTAGTGCCGTGTATTGTAAATAGCGCTGAGTGCTTCTCATCAGAACTACGATTGTAGTTTCACAGCTGAAACTTGCACAGTATTTTTTTAGGGATTTGAACTCCCTCCAGCTTAGGCCCTTCCACTGGCAATGGCGTAAGCAAGACATTTCAGGGCTGTGCCTCTACGTTTTACACATATGAAGTCCACATGCAACTCGAGTGAAGAAACTTTTCGCTACATTTAGGCTCGATCGGCATCATTTAGCTGATTTAAAAATACGTATTTGTGTTGTGAATAAAAAATCAATGTCATTTACACATCAGCAATTGGATAATAATGCACCATAGCATTGTGCGATTAACACAACATCAACACATTCGTCTATAACCCTACCCTAAAAGGAAACAATATATCATAGGCGACGTTTCAGGCAATGGCCCTTCTTCATACTACAATGCATTGCAGGAATATCTGCTGCACGTTCGGTAGGACTTCCACCGCACTTTAAACAAAGTGGGAGACTGCTCATGATAAGTTTAAAAGCACTCGCTATACAAACATTGCATTTGCAGATCTTGAACATTACTCCCGCATGGCTAGGCGACACTGCCATCAACTGGACATATGTGGCTAAGGCATAGCTACAATGATACAGCTGCACGTGCATACCAAGTTGAAAAGGTATATGTACAGCAATGCTACTGGTAGGAACCCACTGGTTCCACAAGCCCACAGGGGATTATCGTGTCCGTCCGTCCGTCGTGCAGGGAGGGGCTGAGTGGGGAGGGTGGGGCTGGGTGGGGAGGGGAGGGTTGGAAGGGGTTGGATGGGGCTGGGTGGGGAGGGGCTGGGTGAGGAGGGTGGGGAGGGGAAGGGTGGGGAGGGTGGGGAGGGGCTGGGTGGGGGGTGGGAGGGGTGGGGCTGGGTGGGGGGTGGGAGGGGTGGGGCTGGGTGGGGGGTGGTAGGGGTGGGGCTGGGTGGGGAGGGGCTGGTCACGCCGTGGTGCCATTATAAAACTCAACGTTTAACCTACTCACGCCGGCTTGTGCCCGCCCTCACAGTCGGGCATATTTGCGGAATACACCACGCCGCCGTTGACCCTGGCCATTGACCGAGCAACCCAACGTTCCTACCAGCTCCCTCCGCAGGAATGTGTTGTCAGGCCACTGCTGCATGAGAACACCCCCACTCCGTGTAGATCGTGGGGGTTTATTTGACCATATTTCACCACGTTGGTCACCACGCTTGCTGAGGTGGCAGCACAGAAGTGCAGTACAACTAATATCCCTCTGCTGACCGACACACAACCCCAGTGCATCCTAGGACAGTCTAGCGTGCATGGTACTTACCCATCCGAGCACTATCCAGGCTCAACGCTGCTTAGCTTCCCCGACCTGACGAGACTCGTCGTATTCTGGGTGATTAGGTTAATACCAGTGTACTCAATCAAAATCTAGTGGGTGGTTAATGACACGGCTGAAGGCTATTGCCAATACAAACGTCAATCTCAGGGTATTAGCACTTTGCCTGAGTTCAGGATACACGGTCGACTGCTTGCTCGTTGGGTTGAATGTGTTCAGTTCAGCAATCTAGTGCGCCAATTATGATGTGAATCAATGCACGCTGCTTAAAAGTTATCATTCTAAGCTATGGATTAATTTCGGCCGGAGTTGACCGGGGCTAAGCCTGAGAAATGAAGACCTCATTCTAACCATGGCAGGTCCGCTCTTCACACCTGTAACTGAGCGCGTGTTTCGTTTAACTCGTCGATGGTCTCGCTCAGAAGAGCCTCCAGCCTTGAAACATTCTCCTCACTCGCGCGAGTCTTCTGCTCCAACAGGGCCTTCTGGATTTCCGATTCGTGGCTTTTCTTCTCAGCTTGCTTCTGTCGATGAGAGTAAAGTGAATAAGCATGACGTTGTAGTAGTAGGTTTTTACCCTTTCAACTGGTACAAAAGCTGACATCTTTATACAAGGCATCATGTTTGCAATAACCACAACACAAGCAGTCAAAATGCATATCATTATCATCATCAGAGTTGTTTCTTTTTGTTTGCATTTTAACTGCTTGTGTTGTGGTTATTGCAAACATGATGCCTTGTATAAAGGTGTCAGTTTTTGTACCAGTTGAAAGGGTAAAAACCTACTACTATATTTTGCCACTGGTAAAGGAGATGTCTCATAGAGTAAAGCATGACGTTGTAAAAGCAGGATTTGCACCTGAGCGATTAGGTGAGCAACCAAATTTGATGAGCGGGTCTGTCTATTCTGAGCAACCGATTGTGCGCAACTGCTGAACAACTGCCTGCAATTAGTTGCACTGACATCCACATACAAGCGATTTAGTTACATGCAACCAAAGTTGTGGACACGATCATCGAGGCTTGAGGACAATTCACATACACTCTTGCAGATCTGTGAGACCCCAGTAAGGTGAAATTATTTTGCCTTTTGGAAAATGAATGCCTTACCTTTGTCAATGTCAGTTCAGTCCTTGAGTTGTCGACACTCTGAAATCGTGAGGTCATTTTGCTTTTGGAGTTCCTTGATGTTTTCCTCTTTTAGCTTGAGATCTGTTCACAGGTTTTAACAATGAGCAATGCAATACATCCAATGCATGCCAAGCATTTGTTTAAGCATACGTACACCTAGGGCAGATTATTGAAAGTTTTCTTGAATAAAAATATTGAAATTAAGAGGCAGGCACAAGCAGGTTGGAATACTTTCGAAAAAAGTGAACTTAGTGAAATATTATATGGGTCTTTCGGTAAAGTCACATAGGATAGGTTCAAAGAAAATAACAAAATGACAAAAAAAACTACGACGTTTCATCAGACGACCGCTTGTGATGACAACCGCGTGTGTTGCGATCTAAACGTCGTAGATTTTTTGTTATTTTGTTATCTTCTTCTTTGAATCTATCTACGTGACTTTACCGAAAGACCCAAAGAATATGAATTCCTGCAGTCACGAAAGCTTTAAGTCAAGATTTAATCATGAAAATGATTATTATTTATAACGATTTATTAATAATTATTGATACAGAAAATAATTGTTAAGTGAACTTAATAATGAAAATCAGGTTGCCAATGTGCTTAACGAAGACATATTTTAATCAGTGTATGTTACCTGTTCTGAGATATGCATCATATACATGGGCACTGACAAAGACAATGGCACAACACCTAAAAATTGCACTAAGAAACCCGGAGTGGTGCAAGCTTGGAATTACATTGAGATACAGGAAGAGGGTTGCATGGACCAGAGAAAACAGGCATTTTATTGACCGTTAAGAAAAGTAAGTGGGCTTGGGTAGGGCACGTCGCTAGAATGGCTGATGGATCATAGTGAAGACTCACAACGGAGTAGGGGACATCTACCATGGAGATGGAGCGATGAAGTTAGCTCGTGAGCAGACACGACATTGCAATACTATGAGAGGCACTGAGAGCTTTGGGTGGCCACCAGTGGTTAGTTCGTGGCTGATGATAATGATGATGTAGAGCAGTGTCAATCTCACTGAATCATTGTGAATTCACCTGTTTGTGTTTCCTGCAGGTTTTCTGCCAGAAGCTCAATTTTTGCCTTTGCATCCTTCAGTGATTTTTCAAGTTTAGTTTTGCCCCTGAGCAAAATAAAAGACACGCACAGTTTAACTTTTAATAACTCTGTGTATTTACCTGTTTTAATAGACACCAATGTACCATTTGCAACACACCAGCAAAAACATCAGCTGCCAATCGGCACACAGCGATGGTGATGCCAAACTAGGTACGCCTTGAGGCCACGTGAAGTGTCGAAGGCTCATTGACGTAATGTCATGAGATAGACCCAATAATTTTGGGCTAACTGACTGAGATTCCTGGCAGATGCACCATCTGTGCTCACCACTGTGCCACCTGTCATGGTGGCAGTTGCTCACAAATACAAATATCCCCCCGTAGAGCCGGAACAGACTGTTATGGTAGGTGCTGTTAGCGAGCACCTATTAAGGCCAGCACCACATACAAGAGGGCGGATGACCAACTCCACGAGCGCCCACCAGTGCTGATGTTTACACACAGCACCAGGTATTCATGTAAAGCTGAGTCGACTAAGGGGCCGTCCATAAATGACGTCACGCACCTAGGAGGGGGGGGGGGGTCAGACATTTGTGACGATGTGTGACGAGGGGGTAGGGGGGTTGAGAAATGTGACGTCACATCAAAATGCGCAACTTTAAATAAATATAGACAACACGTTCTACTTAAATAAATAGACTTTTTAATAAATGGTTTCTCCTACAACATCAAAGTGCAGCGGAACATGAAATACGCACTACAATGACACTAGTTTAAAGCGATTTGAATCATGTTTTATTTTGGGGGGGGTGGGGCAGAGCTTTGTGACGTCATATTTGAGGGGGGTCTGACTTTTTGTGACGCCGTGTGACGAGCGGGGGGGGGGGCAAAAATCGTCCAAAATCGCGTGACGTCATTTATGGACGGCCCCTAAGGGGACGTCCAGGACCGATTTAGATATTTGCCACTGTTATTGGTCGTGAGCGGGAATTGAACTCGGGTTACCGGGTTCGTAGTGCAGTGCGCTAACCACTACCTCTCCCCACACTCACTCATTGGTGGCACTCACACGCACGCGTGTATTCTGGAGACAAAGTAACGTGCATTTCTTTTGGTTAACCATCGAACGAAGACGGTCACCGCATCGCACACTTTCAGATGCAGCTTCTGTGGCCGTCTGGAACACTCTTCCTTCCGATATTAGGAAGCCACTAGACATTTAACTTAAAATTGAAGACGACTTGCTTTAGAACCGCTTTTTGTGTTTAGTTTATTGGCCTTACCACCCACCTCCGATTAGCACGGTTGGCTGTGTACGGTGCGAAAGAAGTTCAACATAAATACATTCATCTCACGGTGGCCTGCCGCTGCGTGTTGGCAAGTCCTCCCAACTTCTTGGTTCTTTCGGTAAAGTCACCTAGAAGGGAAGTAATAAAATAATAAAAATAAAACATAATAAAATAATTCTCACGACGTATTTTATTATGTTTTATTTTTATTCTTGTATTACTTCCCTTCTACGTGACTTTACCGAAAGAACCAAGAAGATGAATCCCTGCAGTCACGAAAGCTTTAAATCGAAACTCCTCCCAAGCTGGGACATGCTCAAGTGGTTGCACTTCAACCCGCCGCTGAGCCATCTGAGTCAATATTCACGGTTGAAAAGAAAACACTGATCCCACACGCACCACCGCAACCCAGAGGTTCATTACACGGATATAAATGAATGGGAATGACAGCGTTAGTGGCATGCAGCAGCGGGGGTGATGGTTCGCACGCTGGACTTGCAAGCCAGAGGTCGCCGATTCAATTCGATCTCCCGGCGCGGAAGTCGAAACGACGGAGCGAGTTTCGTTTAAAACCTCCCCCGCCTTTGCCCACCCAAAAGCGTAAATGGGTCCCCCATAGTCGATCGGCAGGGTGTGTAAGGTGATGAAGATTATTTAGATGATTTGGTTGCTATAATTTCCATGCTGATAAGCCACTTCGTTAAGCTATCAGTTGTGGCCAGGTCGCTTCTGAAGAAGAAGCCAATATCTCAGTGAGCTTTGCCTGTTGTTACGTTCTGATCCGCCCCAACTGGACATCTGTGAAAAAATCGTTTATAGCTAATCGGATTCCTCCAGTATAAATAAATATGATGATTCTGAAGTAAAGCGCAACATATCTTCATTAAGTATCAAAATAAAATTAGGCCAAAATACCTTCTAGAGAGTTTATCCAGAGCTCCCTCTCGTTGAGGTCCTTCCCGCCGATAGTGGCAGCACTATACCCTTGGAAGGTGTTAGCGGTGTGGGAGTTGTGCTACCGTTGTGTGAGCCTGCATCGATCGGCGTTGTTTGTGTCTCCATGAATTATGCATGCGTTGCATTCCGCCCCTCTCCGTGATACAGCTCAGCACCCTCGAGCAGCTCAGCCCACGTCTGTCTGCACCTGACTCGATATTGTTGTGCACCGTGGAGAGTGCATTTCCCTACGCAGTCATGCACCTCACCGGCAGCTCAGGGAGTGAGTAGGAGAGAGCGGGAAGTGATGGGAGGCACATTCGTGTGCTAGCCATGCTGTAAAAAAAAAAAAATCTCATGCCAGGCTGATTCCACTTCTCATTTGCCGCTATTGATCACATCTCTTGCCGGCAAGGGTAGGGTATCCTGAGGATTGTGTTGCATTCCCCTATTCCCTGAGCCCTTGCTCATCCCTGCTGTGCCATCCTTCCCACCACCTCCATGCACTCAATGCAGCTTAGCCTCTGACACTGTACCAGGTGGAGCCATTGTGGGTGTTGTGGGTTTCGTGACAATCCCAAAATATTTCTATATATGTACTCATCTGTTTTATCGGGTAAGCTTACCGAGCTATTAGCTGTTTTTAGAGGCGACCTGGCCGCACATGATAGCTAATCGAAGTGGCTTACCATACGTGGGAATTTATAGATGGCAAATAATCTAAAGGCATGTTTATAAATGCGGAGAAATATCCACACGACCACGGGGGAAAGAGAGAACATGCAAACCCAAAATATACAACATTAGGGTCAGAATCAACCCATGGCCTTCTGCATGCCAGGCGAGGTATATAACACCTCCTCGGCCACTGCGAAGAGAAACCTATAACGTCACGCTGATTGTGCTGACGACGGAACCTCTATTATACACAGTAGCACACCTAATATCAAATGTTTTTGTTCCGGATAACCGCTGCAACATATGATCTTGTGTTTTGATTTAGTGTGTTGATCTTTAAAGGTGCATTTGAAAAATTTTGATACTCCTATTGATGATCCTGCTGTTGTGGAGTGACTCATGCAGCCAGTTATGGCTACAGGGTTTGGTGGTACATGCTGTGTCGTTTATTGTGAAATTTCGGTCACAGTTCCTATGATCACTGTTACATTGTTTATGGCTTTATTTTGGTGTTTTCGAAAAGTTTTTTGGTTTTTTGGTTTGGCCATGTCTGTTTGTTGCAGTACGGAGTTAGAATGATGGCTTTAATCTAAGTTGTCTTGTGGTTGTTGTTGTTGTTTGACTTGCATCCCACTGGGATTTTTGCACAGCGTTGGTGTCAGGTGCTTTTTTTCTGGAAGACTTTGCAATTTCTTCCTGGATTTTTCTGTTTACACATACTCACTTTAAGATGTTTTCTTGTTCATGTTTTTGTTTTTTTGTTTGTTGCGGTTGCACCCGATTCAAGAGCCGAATGGCTCACAGGGCTATACCAAATAAATGAAACTGAAAACTGAAAATAAAAATGAAACCGCCAGCAGGTTCAGTTCTGAGTCACGGATCTCCATCTGTAATCTGGCCAATAACCCTCAACTTTCAGTGTGGCTGTGCACTGCACCGTACCTCTTTTTCTCCTTGGCACTGCCCATGTGGCTGGTGAGCGCAATGAGGGCACTGTGCAGTGTCCCCAAGTGCTCCATTGCCTGCCTGGTTGACTCCAGAGCCTCTTGAACCTTTAATAACAAAATGCACAAGAGCAGGCTTCTGCTATCATTATTGTTACAGTTTCATCGTCTTTTTTAAATCCTTTATATTAAGTTCACTTGCTTGCTTGCTTGCGCGCTTGCTTGCTTGCTTGCACGCTTACGACCGTGCAAATCTTTCGGTCGTTTTTTAACCCACTTCCCGTGATCCAATCGAGCTGACATTTTCCAAACACACTCGTTGTGCGTGACAATTAATTTTCGTGAAAAAAATTCCAAAATTTTACACTTTTTAGGGGAAAAAATGATATTTAATTACCAATTGCTTAATGGTGGCAGGCAATCATCTGACCCATAGGTGGCAGCCATCTCAAGCCAGAGGACGAGAGGACTCTAGCCGCCACGCATATAAAGGATTTATAGTGAAAAACTTTGTTTTTACGGGTAATTTTTTCCCCACCCATTTATACTTATCGGTGCCGTGTCAAATGTACAGCCGTTTGGTCGATCCACTGCTGGATGAGGGCCCTCCCTCACACTGTGTCGGTCATGATGGTTGTTTGGCCATTCTTCACGATGCTGGGCAGCGTGGGTTGAAGGGGTGGCCGGCCAAGGACCAGTTCCAGATATTGCTCGCCACTGATGTTAGCCATGGCCAGGAATCACATTCAGTTTGTCGGGTTCATAGTGCAGCATGTGAGCTCATGCATCCATTATGCCCCAGGGCAAAGTGATGCAATGCTTAAGAATTAAAGTTACCTTTTGCGTGCTGTGACTTATATCCACGTCCAGATCCTTCGACGAATCTCCATCAGTAAGTATTGAACTGTGATCAAAGAACTGCAAGAAAGGGTTTACATTCGTTTTTATCACGCTTCCATACACTTTACTCCTTAGTGTTGATAAACCCTTTCAACAATAATCCTGTAATAACCCCAGTATGACTTAAGATTATAAAGTATATATATATTTATGGGCCCCTTGTAGATGCTTTCGTACAATCAGCTTGCATAAATAATTAATGCCGTGGTTGGGAATACAAGGATAAGGATATCCTCTCATGCCACTGCTGGTGGAAGGGCCTCCGATAGAGGATGAACAAGAAAGCCCCCTCTAGAGAGACCCCTCTAGACTAGAGAGACCCCTCTAGAGAGACCCCTCTAGAAAGACCCCTCTAGAGAGACCCCTCTAGAGAGACCCCTCTAGAGAGACCCCTCTAGAAAGACCCCTCTAGAGAGACCCCTCTAGAGAGACCCCTCTAGAGAGACCCCTCTAGAGAGACCCCTCTAGAGAGACCCCTCAAGAGAGACCCCTCAAGAGAGACCCCTCTAGAGAGACCCCTCTAGAGAGACCCCTCTAGAGAGACCCCTCAAGAGAGACCCCTCAAGAGAGACCCCTCTAGAGAGACCCCTCTAGAGAGACCCCGTCTAGAGAGACCCCTCTAGAGAGACCCCTCTAGAGAGACCCCTCTAGAGAGACCCCTTTAGAGAGACCCCTCTAGAGAGACCCCTCTAGAGAGACCCCTCAAGAAAACCTCTCTAGAGAGGATGAATCCGGAAATATGAAATAATTACGATAACATTTAAATGCACAATGGTAACGTGGAGTGATAAATAAAACATTTCTAAACTCGTCAATCGTAAACAATGTGATCTCCAAGAGTAACCAGCGAGTGCGAACAAATGACCTCATGCATGCAGAGCAGCGTCCGTTAACATGTTTTTAAAATTCCCTTGCAGTGATTAGCGAGTTGGAATACCTCACAAAATGGACAATTGATTAAATACTCTTTGGTTCTTTTGGTAAAGTCACGTAGGTATACAATAAAATAAATCACGACGTTTCGATCGCAACACAAGCGGTCGTCCTCAGGCGGAAAAAAAATTGAATCCATTTATTTTCTACCTACGTGACTTCACCGAAAGAACCAAAGAGAATGAATTTTTGCAGTCACGAAAGCTTCAAATCACAAATAACATCGTTTTTTCTAAGATGCTTTTCTCACAGAATCGCACGGATGTCGGTACTGGTGGCAAGTATGTTTTAAAAAATCTTTGTCACAAATAAAATAATTCGGTTAAGTTAGGGACATGAATGTAAACTGAAAATCCATTACTGGTAATTATACCAGAATACTGCACCCGATCTTGTTTGTCTTTCCCACATGCAATCACTATATTTACGTACATTTACTTCTCAAGTTCTCAGAACCCACATTGGGTCAGGCAAGGGGCTACTCGGTTGAAACAACATTCGTCAAGGGCTACAGTAGCCAACAGAGCTTGAGAATCACTGCTCTAGAGAGTATTTGTTCTACTTTTCCATTCCCGCCAGACATTTTGGAAGAGGTAGAAGTCACCACGCTTTACCCCACCGCATACCACCTCTGAACACAGCTGCCCAATTGTGGGCAGAGTTGTACCTCGCTGAGCTGGGACAGCAGCTGCTGGCGACAGCCACACTTCTCCTGATAGCCAACGATGAACAACATCGTATCCTGCTGGTGCTGTCGCCTCTGCGCGGAGCTCGACAGAAATGATTCTAATTGTTCCTGAAAATAAATACGAAGATTAACGAGCGGTAACTGATTTTTTTTTTGAGCGTCGTGTGAAAATTACAATAGCAGAAAACCAACACAAATGTCAGGTGAAGTTTACTCCGGGTGTATATCCCCTTTCTTCCACGGCAGGTGCTGTGTGCTGTGCGCTCACCAAATTCTCAAAACACTCCATATTTGCCCTTTTCAAAGAATCCATGACAGCACGGTTCCCCAATTCAAAGGCTTCCATCGTCTGTCGTAAGAGAGCAAACACGACTATTTAGCTGGTCCAGAGAAAGACATCATAGAGGGGAAAAAAAACGAAGAATGTTATATCAACAATTACCTGCCATAAAAAAGAGCTACTGCGCTAGCAGTGGTGCATAAGCACAATTAATGCAATCTTAACACATTTGTCAATAATGCTGCCCTAAATGACTAAACGAAACAAAGTATGTGATGTTTTTGCCAATAAACCTTTCTTCAAAGGACACCGATGATCTTTGTGCTGAGTTTTTTTTTATTCACGTGTTGAAATTTGTGTTCGCAAAGTTGCATTCCTAAATACATTTACACAATCACTCTGCAATTTGACTTCAACGTCATCAAAACCGACCACTGCTAGCTGACGCGCACACCCAAAGCCATTACAGTATTAATTTGGCCCTTCCCCTCTTCAACCATTATATATACGGAGTGGTAGCTCTTGTAATCTCTCATTTACTTGATACAGCTGTCGTGGCTATGACGGTTCCACCTGAAGACGGAAGCTTGTTGCCTCCGAAACGTCGTGATTTTATTTTACTTTTATTAATTAAAATTTTTTACCTACGTGACTTGACCGAAAAAACCTAAGAATATGAACCATTACAGAATTGGCAATGTACGTACGTGATCCACTCGAGTCCTGATCTTCTCCAGCTCCTGCTGCGTTTTATCCGCATGGCGGGCGAGTTTGACCAGGGCCATTCTCTCCATCACCGCCCGCACCTCCTCGCCCTCCTCTGGAGGCGCCGCGTGTCGAGATGCCCCGTCTCCTGCCACCACCGTGAACTCGCACGCGAGGCCAGACGACCGACCGTGCTGGCTCAAGACGGAGGAACCCAATGCGGGGGCATTGTGATGCCCGCTACCCTGAGCTGTGCGTGACCCAGGGCGGAACATTTTCATCCTTCCAGATAACTTCCCCGGGCATAGGTAACGCTGCGGTCCTGCCGATCGACTAACTAGATAGCTTACCACTATCTTTAAAACATACCTGTCATGGGCAAATACTTCCCAATGTCATATACAATGACCAAGTTATTTATGACTTATCTCACTTAATGTATTCGCTATTAGAGGCCAAAGTAACACGTGTTTTTATATTGAAAAATTGCTCCACTTCAGTGTTCAATATCGCAGTGAAACGGGGATAGCTTCGCGCACCAAAGTGGAACGCGTGTCATTGTGAGGTGCACACTCCCTGTGGGGCACAGGCTGTGGAACAAGGCTAAGAGACCCCTTTGATCTGCCTGGAGAGGGCTGGGCCCCTGGTGCTTACACATGCCACTCGTGCAATATCCAGGCAGTCACTGCATCACCAAGAGTCACCACTCCTTCGCCCTTTAGCCGTGGTTGTCGTGGTGAAATATCTGCCTTTCTCAAAACACAGGCCACTGAGAAACGTAGAGTGTGTGGTGATAACGCAATGACTCGTTTTTGCTGACGCATCTGATGCTTAAAAAGAAAAAAAAACACAAATTTGTATTGCAATGCAGAGGCCACCGAATAATTTCGATCTTCCGCCGTGGCAATTTAAAGAATGGGAACGTTTCTTTAAATCCAATCGATCTCTGCGTACCCAACAGTAGATGTGGGTCCACCAGGCAGGGTGTATGTGGTGGGATAAAGTGCGGCTAACTCCCACCACTTTCAAGGATGCATGGTCAGCGTAGAAGAGTAGGCCTAAGTACCCCCTAGAGCAGTGCTTCTCAGCCGAGGGCACGTGGCAATGCCTCAGGGGGCACGTGAGGTGCTGTATAAATGCGTGAAATTATATCACGCACGAGTAATTGGTGAATAATCTTGCGCGAATCTGTCAATATTAAATAACTACGATGCATTTTTAAATCCTTTATATTAAGTTCACTTGCTTGCTTGCTTAGGACCGTGCAAATCTTTCGGTCGTTTTTTAACCCACTTCCCGTGATCCAATCGAGCTGACATTTTGCACACAGACTCGTTGTGCGTGACAATGCATTTTCGTGAAAAAATGTTTCCAAAATTTTACACTGTTTAGGGAAAAATTTTAAATATTTAATTACCAATTGTTTAATGCTGCCAGACAATAATCTGACCCATAGGTGGCAGCGATCTCAAGCCAGAGGACGAGATGACTCTAGCCGCCACGCATATAAAGGATTTATAGTGAAAAACTTTGTTTTTATACTTGTTAAGTCATATGGTGGCATAGAACGATCTAAAAGACCTTCTATAAACTCACTGATCGTAAAAAAAAATGTGGTTTGCACGAGTAACCAGCCAGCGTGAACAAATAACGTCGTTGCGTGCAGAGCATCCATCGATTTGTTTTGCATTCGTTCGCAGTGACTGGCTCACAAAATGGGCACTTGGTTAAAATCTTCATACGTTCATTTTTCGGAAGCATGTTGGGTCAGGCGAGGGGCTGGTACTCGGTTGAAACTAAAATTCAGACAAGGGGGGTACAGTAGCCATGAAAAAAAGGTTGTGAAACACTGCTCTTAGTAGGGCTCTTCAGAACTCCCTCCAGCAGAGGCCCTTTTACCAGCTTCGGTGTGAGCCAGTCATTGAAGGCCTACACCTTTACCTGCATGCACTTTACACGTGATTGTTATTCTAAGCGAAACATCAAAGGTGAAACACGTGCATTTTATTTACAATGTCTGTTCTCGTCTTATTTTATCCCCCCCCCCCCCCCCCCCATTTTTTATTGCGTTTTAAAGAAGAGATAGCGATGTAGCTAGATGAGAGAAATGTGGACAAAATATAGATGTGCAATGAGATGAGAAAAGAGAGATGCAGATGGGAGAGATGTAGTCAAGAGACAAAGATGTAGTGAGATGAGAGGAGAGCTGAAAACAATTAGATAAATTTAATATATTTTACGTCAATTGACCTTTAATGTCTGAGTCTAAAATAGAGCTATTTGGTGCATCCCTTTTTCATTTAATCTTAAGCTGTTTGGTGCACTAAGCTTTTGCTTAGTTTTCTTATGCTGGAAAGTGGGGGAAATAAATGGGTTTTTATAAGCAGTAAATCCTTCTTAGCTTCTTGTGTGTGCTTTGTGAGAGACAGAGGCTAATCATGAGACGCGCACATGTCCACGTCCTCACGTGTTGCGCTGAATGTGAACGTGTCTGTGACAATAAGGGCAAAAGAAAATGCAGACTGTGGCATTAAATGTGTTAAAATCACAGAGCGTGTTAAGTGACAGACCAAATTGAAAGTGTCGAGGAGCGTTTGCGTAGTCATTGGTGACCAGGCCAAGACCATCGCGTTTCTAAACTTGAGAAACCATTTTATTAAATCAGTGGATGCCAGGATTCGAGCCCTGGAACCTTGGCAACACTGACCTATTCCTCTTACCCCATACACACGGCCATCACCCTGAATATAACATAATTCATTCATAATTAAACCACTACTTCAGCCTTATAATGAGATGCTCATTAGAGCAGAAATTTGCTTTGACCATTGCACTCCATATTTTCAATGCACATGCACACAGGTTGTAGTACACATCTTTATTATATTATTATAAGAGATTTTATATATTTCAACATACACATGCTATGATTTAATGTAAAGGTACATGAACCGTCACATTCATTGAGTAAAGTATGATACCATATTAGAAGTGCAAAACAATTGGAAAATCTTGGTACTCTGCCCTGCTGCATATATATTAAAAATCATTACATACATTTGTGAAAAAAAATTCCCCAAAAATAGTGCATATAATACAAATGTTCATCAATATCATTAGCCTTGACCTATCCACTGCTGGATGAAGGTCTCTTCAACTGCCACCACCTCTTATAGTTTGTGATTCAACAATCCATCTTGCACCTGCATACAAGCGGATGGCATCCCTCCATCTCCGTAGCAGACGCGTTCTCTCATATAAGCCCCTTCATTTGGCTGATATTTTGTTAGTCTTAACTCGTAAAGTATCTAAATGCAACCATATCGCAAGACACTGTACAGTGGACAATATTTATTTTAAAAAGATCAAGACAGTCATTGACAGAGGAAACAAGGTCTTGACTCTGAAATTGTATAGGGCAGGAAGCAGAAGATATGGATGTCTGGGAAAATGAAGCTCCAGACGATGAGGGCAACAAGGGAAAATTGAGTGAAGGCTGACTAGGATTTCAGTTGAAAGCTTTGATTGCTGAAGGGGGGAGTAAAGTAAGGATAGAATTATGTTAATTTGAGGTTCATTCATTTTGCTCTAGCCCAGTCAACATGCTGACATTGGGCAATGCTGGATAAGGTTTGGTTCAATTTCGGCCTTCATTAATATAGCAATGACCCATTACAGCATATCAACAGGGAAGGCTGTGATGGTGCAGTTGTGAAGGTAGAGACAATTAAAGGCAAACCAGTTTATTTTCTATCTGTATAATAACCCATTTGCATCAGCATGGAAGTGAGTATGACACGTTTCTAGCCTCTACACGTTGGTGAATGTATTAATGAGCATCAAAGCTGTAAATGTAAACTTCCCAGAATATTTTTTACCACTCTGTTCCACTATTATTTTTTTTATAAACAATTGGTAACCAACTGGAAGAACATTCAGAGCTCCCAGAAGGACATTTTTTGAAGGCCTCCCTATCTTCAGCTGTTCCAGAGCCAGCTGGTCCAGCTCAAGCCTTGGCAGGCTTTGGTTTGCAGGCACGCTGGTGCACAGCCAGGCGATCAGGCAGGAATGTGCGGCCGCAGACAGGGCATGGCACCAGCTGGCCCTGCGAGCTTTGCCACGCCGCTGCATTGGCTGCCTCCAGGTCATAGGTCCCACTCGCTGCACACAGGCACAACACACGAGTTATCCAGATGGAGACCCTTACTACCATTATCAGCCATGATCTATCCACAGCTGGATGAAGACCTCCCCAAGCCATTCCTCATGGTCCTGTTACAATTCATCACACTTCTGCATATGAACAGAATGCAACGCCCACTTCTCAAATTGACTGTCATTTCGCATGCGATCCCTCTCCTGGCTGCCGTATGGAAACCGGTCCCATCGAGTGATGAAGTGCTCTTTCCAAGCCAATTTAGTTTTTTGACATTTAATATGACGTCCATATTTTGTGTTGTTTCTGTGAACAATATCTTTTTGTCTGTCAGTAACTTTAATTCATAACATACAACTCTTGCTATTTGCGCCATTTTTGTCACTATCCATATTTCTGATCCATGCATTAGAACAGACAATGTGAAAATGTTCTTGACTAAGCACATGGGTATATTGCTTTTCATTATCAAATTACATTAGGAAAACAATGGTGCAGTGACTGGTAAAAGAAGAGGTCAAGTGATTTAGGAAAGTTAATGGTTAATTGGCTGAGTGGTGAGTGTATTTAATATTTATTGCTGCAAACATTACTTACATTTAATTAAGGCCACTTCAGGTTTCTTGGGCTCAGGCCGACGCATATTCCTTGGAAGCTTGTCATTCTCAATATGCCACTTCGTGAAGCATTGTGGCTCATGTATGGAGATAGATTTGGTTCCAAACTCTCGTCCACAGATGAAGCAGATGACCGTTTGCGGCTTTCGGATTACCTTGGGCTGGGTTTCAATAAAAGATGTAAAAATTATGTAAATGTGTGACTCGTTTATAATGAATGGGAAAATAGAAATGCACTGCTCACTCTCGACATATTTGATGAACTGTCACAATATGGAGTTACAATTCGATTCAATAATTCATTTCGACATTGTGCTGCATAGAAAATATATCACGAACCAATTATATACAAAACGTATAAACCCTAAAATATAAATTCTCACATGCACAATTCTACGCATGTATAATGAGCATAACAATACATTTAATGTAATGCGGTTACATGACAAATAAGGCTGTCCTATATAACAGAAATATATATCATTACCCTACTTCAGAGAAATGTACATACAGAGTAAACTATGTTCAGTATAAATTAAGACAACACGATATTTCACTGTATATACTTCACAGAATATGTTACAGCTAACCATCACCATAAATAGGTAAAGCAGTAATAGACCATTTTTTTAATGAATTAATTATCGCCGTGGCCACAGCATATAATGGGGAGTTTGACCTGCATGGCCGCACTTGTTCCTGCTCCAGTAGAAGCAGGTGAAGTGCCAGGACCTTTAACCTTGCAGCTGCGCTGGTGCACCTGCAGACGGTCTGGCGCAAACTTCCGGCCGCAGTTAGAACATGGTACCAGCTGCCCCTTGAAGCTTTCCCAGGCTGCCTCATTGCTCACTGCAATTGCCCCGGTGCCCCCGCCAGCCTGTGCCACCAGTGGCTTTTTTGGGACCGGCCGGCGTAACTCTCTGGGCAGTCGGTCATTTTCGTTTTTCCACTTCTCCAGGCACTGTGGCTCGTGGATGCTCAGTGACTTTGTCCCGAACTCTCGGCCACAGATGTAGCAGATGAGAGTGCGTGGAATGGGGGCCTTTGTGGCTTGCAGCGATGCCGTCACACTCCCGTTCTTTTTATTCGTGCCGCCTCCTAAGCACAAGCAAGGTTGCACAAGTCGGTACATGTACGGTACATAATGTGAGTTTTGTAAATATGTTGACAGTTGAAAAAATCCGAATGGCAAGTGCAAAAATGTAAGTTATAATTACCCGTTTAATGTATCTTATTATTGAACCACTTCACTTTTAACTTTACTTCCTTATTGTGATATTAAAAAAATATCGAAACACCCAATGCACATTATGAATTAATGTATTAACCCTTTCCTTACCATTGTCTACTCCAAGCCTTTCGACACCGGGAGCTTTGGGAGCTGAAACAACGGGCAAGGACGAGCTCACAGTGCTTGAGGGTTTCCGGAAAGTGGCTCCACGGGACAGGGAGGGCCCTCCACGGCCACCATCCTTGGCAGCAATCTCCTTGGACTTAAAGCAGCTCCGTTGATGGATGGCAAGACGGTCAGGCAAGAAAGTGCGGCCACAGTTATCGCATGCAACAAGCTGCGCCTGAGCACTCTGCCAAGCCAAGTCGTTAGCTGCACCAACACCAGCCTGAAAATTGAGAAATTTATATGTATTTCATTATTTAAATTTTATTCATGAATTTCCCAAAAAAGAAATATGCCATTATTGTCAAGGAAGGCTAAACACTAAAGAAGCACATCAGTTAATGTTTGCTTATTCCTTTTTTAAATGCAATTTCATTTTTTTTCATATGGAATTTTAATGATAGAATTACTTCCAAAATATTGAATAGTTTCCATATTAATATAATATTTTATGTAACATAAAATGTGTTTCATATTTTGTCGAACAAATGTATTTCCAATGCAGTGAATAGATGTTAGGTTGAAATAAGCAATATATGTTTAGATCCAAACAATCACAGTTATAATCAAGAGGTTAATGTAAAATATGCATATATTAAAGAACACAATCAGTAGTGGCCGTTACAAGGAAACAATTATGTTTTGGAAAATATTTTACTCAACTTACTCAAGAGTTTTTTTTGTTGATTGATGTATATATCACTTTAGATACATTTAGATATTACATGATACAAAATGTATAGACTATATATGTAATAAAAATGTTTAACGAAATTATAGACTTTATAATACAAAAAAAATTCTGGATATGCCATCTCTTATTACGAATTTAATGATAAAAAAAATGCTTCCCTGCCTTTGAGTCCGTATTTGGCTTGCTGGGCTCTGGCCTCCGTAGGTGCTTTGGCAGCTTCTCATTCTCAATCTGCCACTTCTCCAGGCACTTTGGCTCATGCAGAGAGATGGACTTTGAGCCAAACTCCCGACCGCAGATGTAGCACACTCTCATAGCTGAACGTCTCGGAGGTATGGTGGGCAGAGAATATGGCTTCTCCAAACCTGGGTGTGAAAACACCCCGTTGGGTCGCAGGGGAAGGGTGGTTGTCTTCGGCCTGGAAAGTCGCTTGCCGTGGTTTATTGCTTTGCCTGGTTCCTGTTGTAGCACTAGAGGAGCATGACTTGGTCCAGACGCAAGGGTGACTGGCGAATCGTGGCCTCTTGATTTGCTAAATGCCTCTGTGGCTGAAGTGTTTTGCACTTTCTCAGAAGTGGCGACACTTGGGTCTGCCTTGGTGGATGCAATTGTTTTTAAGGCACCGCAGCTGCGTTGATGTGTCGGTAAACGTGCTCCCAGAAAAGGTTTCCCACAGTGTTTGCAAGGAATGAGATCGGCTCGTGGGCTTCTATTGGCTGCTTTCTGCTGAGCAACTTCGACAAGGGAGGGCAAAAAAAGATAGGCTTCATTAAAGGTATGGATCACTGCACTTGGGGTAGTCTCTGAAGAGCTTTAACATTTTTCATGATTTCAATAGTTATTTGCTGTTACTTTGTTTTACCAAGATTCTCTAATTTTTGTAATATAACTTGGGGACGAATGTGTCTTACCCACGTGAACAAATAAAATCAGTGAATAGTTACTGCATTGTGATCATTTTTTCGTATTATACCATCAGAGGCAAGCTTTATCGTAACGATTTTACTGACTGTAATGTAGTGCTCTCACAATGTGATTATTAAAAAAAATACACGATATAAAATGTTCTTATAGTGCGATTTAATTAACTTGCTTAAACAGATCCTGAATACACTAATGTGCATAACAGCAGACCACCAAGACTTCTACAATCATACTGCATATGAATAAAAAAAAGATTCCTTAACTTATCTCTATTTGCGGATCTCCTAACTATACACAACAATATAATTTCTAAACTGTATGCATTCTTAGCTTGACTGAACATCTTTAAAAGGGCCAGATCATTTCTGAAACTTAAACCCGAAGAAGGTACTGTGCATGTGTCAAACAATGAAATCATTAAAGTATAATCAAGGCACATTCATCTCCAGCTGGATGGGGTATAGAGTTCCACTGAGGCTCAGTACCCCAGTGAGTCAAGTCCCTACTTGTTTTAGGGCACGTTTCCTTTTTAAAAGGCTTCTATTATCAACAGTATCTTAGACTGCTGCAGGAAAGAACTTGTGGCATGTTTAATCTTCACTGGCTACAAAACACACACAGCGACATGTTTATTGTCATGTTTATATCTGCAGGTAACCTATTACAAACATGTTAAATATGGTGGTGCCCAGCTCCATGCCAACAAAGCAATATATTGTGAATTTCTATTTTCCAGTGTTAAAAGTGTCAGCTTTAAGTACCCTTGCTAATAGATGTAATACATTTGACAGTCTCACGCACATTTTACAATGGACCATGATTACGGAAAATTTGCTATTAGTGTCATGCCGACATTGAGTATTGAATGGCAATTTAAATATAGAAGTTCCTTCACCAAATAGTACATTGGCTTCTCTTATTTTCATTTGAACTAAAAGACGGTGAATAATGTGGACAAGTCAATGACTTTTCACAGCTTCCCACAGACGTGGCGATTCACGGGAATCTCTAAAGTGACATTAGTAACATAACAACATTTGAAAAGTTAATCCTTAACTGCTGCTCAGGTGATTTTCAGCAGCTGTTAATTCAGAGCGCAGAGCAATAAAATCCATTCCAATATCGCGTCCTGCCTTCCATAACTCCCACAGACCTACACACTACGATAAACATCAACCTTTAAATCACTGACATTTAACTCTTTCAAATATACGTTTTTAAAAGATGTAGTTACCGAGTCTTCTTCTTTCCCGATGGCAAGGTAGTGGAATTTTCTCAATAATGCATGAGCCATTTGCCTGGAGCAGTTCTCAAAGTTTACCCGTTACGAGACGAAATTCTAACCTTTGATAACCTAATACATATTCTTGGTTCATTCGGTAAAGTCACGTAGAAGGGAAATAATAAAGTAATAAAAATATAAAACAATAAAAATTCTCACGACGTTTCGACTGCAACACAAGCAATCGTCATCAGGTGTGAAATCCACTTTTTTAAAACATTTTCTTGCTGTGGATTTCACACCTTGTGACGATTGCTTGTGTTGCAGTCGAAACGTCGTGAGAATTGTTATTATTTAATATTTTTATTATTTTATTGTTTCCCTTCTACGTGACTTTACCGAAAGAACCAAGAATATGAATCCCTGCAGTCACGAAAGCTTTAAATCAAGACCTAATACATGTTTTTTATGGATATAATTGTATTTTAATATGATGTTAGGTGTGAGGGCTGCGAGTGCTACCTTGGTGGGCAGCAGATCCAATGCAGAAAACTAATCCGCAGTTGTGCTGTACTATGGCTCCGTCTCCACCCATCGCGGGTGAAGTTAAATATCAACAACAACAACAACCGACGTCCACCGCTCGTGCCAGGCTAGGTGCACTGAGGCCACGTGGAGTGTGGAAGGCCCTCTGGCAGGAGGTCACGGTACAGACCTAGCAGGTGCCATGAGTTTACGAAGGCCCTTTCCTCATCCAGCAGTGGATGGACACTGTACTTGTGCGAACCTCATCTTACCTTTGGTCTTGCGGTCACTCATGAGTGCTGCCGAGTGGACCCCTACCAGACTCTCTCTCTCTCTACAGTGGCTGTTTTACTCAATAAATAAATAAACAAAGTTAAAAGTGTCTCTTAGTGAAGACCAACAAATTAGCCGACCGGCATCACCACAGCCGCCTCCGCCTTCTCCAGCTCCGGCAGCCGCATCCCCCGTTCCTCTCCCGGGCCATGCTGCGCTCACGATGCGCGCGGTAAAGGAGCAGAGACGTGAAGGCGGTGCCCGTGGAGAGTGGCGAAGCGACGTGGTGGTCGTCGTGGTGGTGGTGGTCACCGTGGTGGTGGTGGTCACAGTGGTGGTGGTGGTGGTCACAGTGGTGGTGGTGGTGGTCACAGTGGTCGTGGTGGTGGTCACAGTGGTGGTGGTGGTCACCGTGGTGGTGGTGGTCACAGTGGTGGTGGTGGTGGTCACAGTGGTGGTGGTCACAGTGGTCGTGGTGGTGGTCACAGTGGTGGTGGTGGTCACAGTGGTGGTGGTGGTCACAGTGGTGGTGGTGGTCACAGTGGTCGTGGTGGTGGTCACAGTGGTCGTGGTGGTGGCGAGAAGTGAACGCACCACGCGGACTCGAGGAGGCCGCAGATTTGGCCGCAGCTGCGGCGGCAGCGTCGTGGGTCGTCATGGCGACCTGGCGCGACGTCACGCGGCGCGTCATGGGGTGGTGGGGGAGGGAGGGAGGGGGTGGTGGGGTGAGGGAGGGGGTGGTAGTGTGAGGGAGGGGGGTGGTGGTGTGAGGGAGAGGGTGGTGGGGTGAGGGAGGGGGTGGTGGGGTGAGGGAGGGGGTGGTGGGGTGAGGGGGGGTGGTGGGGTGAGGGAGGAGGTGGTGGGGTGAGGGAGGGGGTGGTGGGGTGAGGGAGGGGGTGGTGGGGTGAGGGGGGTGGTGGGTGAGGGAGGAGGTGGTGGGTGAGGGAGGGGGTGGGGGGTGAGGGAGGGGGTGTGGGGTGAGGGGGGTGGTGGGGTGAGGGAGGAGGTGGTGGGGTGAGGGAGGGGGTGGTGGGGTGAGGGAGGGGGTGGTGGGGTGAGGGGGGGTGGTGGGGTGAGGGAGGAGGTGGTGGGGTGAGGGAGGGGGTGGTTGGGGGAGGGAGAAGGTGGTGGGTGAGGTAGGGGGGGTGAGGGAGGGGGTGGTGGGGTGAGGGAGGGGGGGGTGAGGGAGGGGGGTGGTGGGGTGAGGGAGGGGGTGGGGGGGTGAGGGAGGGGGGGTGAGGGAGGGGGTGGTGGGGTGAGGGAGGGGGTGGTGGGGTGAGGGAGGGGGGGTGAGGGAGGGGGTGGGTGGGGTGAGGGAGGGGGGGTGAGGGAGGGGGTGGTGGGGTGAGGGAGGGGGGGTGAGGGAGGGGGTGGTGGGGTGAGGGAGGGGGGGTGAGGGAGGGGGTGGTGGGGTGAGGGAGGGGGTGGTGGGGTGAGGGGGTGGTGGGGTGAGGGAGGAGGTGGTGGGGTGAGGGAGGGGTTGAGGGGGTGGTGGGGGTGAGGGAGGGGGTGGTGGGGTGAGGGAGGGGTGGTGGGAGGGAGGAGGTGGTGGGGTGAGGGGGGGGGTGAGGAGGGGTGGTGGGGTGAGGGAGGGGGGGTGAGGGAGGGGGTGGTGGGGGTGAGGGAGGGGGGGTGAGGGAGGGGGTGGTGGGGTGAGGGAGGGGGGGGGAGGGAGGGGGTGGTGGGGGGTGAGGGAGGGGGGGGTGGGGAGGGGAGGGGTGGGGTGAGGGAGGGGGGGTGGGTGAGGGAGGGGGTGGGTGGGTGAGGGAGGTGGGGGTGAGGGAGGGGGTGGTGGGGTGAGGGAGGGGGTGGTGGGGTGAGGGAGGGGGGTGAGGAGGGGTGGTGGGGTGAGGGAGGGGGTGGTGGGGTGAGGGAGGGGGGGGTGAGGGAGGGGGTGGTGGGGTGAGGGAGGGGGTTGGTGGGGTGAGGGAGGGGGTGGTGGGGTGAGGGAGGGGGGGAGGGGGGGTTGTGGGTGAGGGAGGGGGGTGGGGTGAGGGAGGGGTGGTGGGTGAGGGAGGGGGGGTGAGGGAGGGGGTCGTGGGGTGAGGGAGGGGGGGTGAGGGAGGGGGTGGTGGGGTGAGGGAGGGGGTGGTGGGGTGAGGGAGAGGGTGGCGGGTGAGGGTGGCGGGGTGAGGGAGGGGGTGGTGGGGTGAGGGAGGGGGTGGAGTTGTGGCTGATCTACGGGAGTGGTAGTGCAGCGGTTAGCGCCCTGCGATGTGAACTCGGCTACCCAAGTTCGATTCTTGCTCACGGCCAACACCAGTGACGAATATCTGACCCGGTCCTGGGCCTCCCCTAAGTCAACTCAGCCCCAAATGAGTCGCTGGTGCGGTGTGTAAACATCGCCACTGGGGAGACAAAGGCGGTCGGGCGTGGTGCTGAGCACCCACCCCCTCGTGTGCCGTGCCGACCTTCATAGGTGCTCGCTAACAGCACTTGCTCCAACAGCCTGTTGAGGCTACACGGGGGACCTTTGGTGTTGTGACATTGGGCGAGAAGAAGAGACGGACTGATGTGGTCCACAAGGATGTGGAGTTGATTGGACTTGCCCATGACCGGTACCAGCGGTGTCAAGATCGACCTCTGTGGAGAAGGGCTCGTGAAGGACGCTGCTGTGGAATTGGAGGCAGTCGCCCTCCAGCAACAGCAACAACAACAGCGGAGGGCAGAGGAGCGAGGCTCACATCAACGAGCGGAACGCCGGGCGGATAAATCTGAGAGCTGTCACAGTAGGGGGCACAGCTGGTGCAACCATCTCAGTCAGTTAACCCATGGCACCTGCTGGGTCTGTCCCGTGACCTTCTACCTGGGGTTGGGGTCCCCGACACTTCACGTGGCCTCAAAGTGCACCTAGCCTGGCGCAGGCGCCTTGGTGAACGGCGGGTGTTGTGTTTTGGGGCCGACCATAAATGACGTCACGCGATTTTGGACGATTTTTGACCCCCCCCCCCCCCTTCGTCACACGGCGTCACAAAAAGTCAGGCCCCCTCAAATATGACGTCACAAAGCTCTGCCCCTCCCCCAAAAATAAAACATGCTTCAAATCGCTTTAAACTATTGTCATTGTAGTGCGTATTTAATGTGGCGCTGCACTCTGATGTTGTAGGAGAAAACATTTATTAAAAAGTCTATTTAATTATGTAGAACGTGTTGTCTATATTTATTTAAAGTTGCGCATTTTGATGTAACGTCACATTTCTCCCCCCCCCCTCGTCACACATCGTCACAAATGTCTGACCCCCCCCCCCTAGGTGCGTGACGTCATTTATGGACGGCCCCTTTGACCATATTTCAAGGCCGCGGATAAGAGGTCTCCATTTTAATTGGCACTTGGGAAGTATCCGATAGATTGGCATTAGTTGATTTGATTGTTGCTTTTGTTTTCTTCTTCCACTTAATACAATTCTAAAATATAATAATTTAAATGAAATGCAGCATGACATGTTGGTCAATGAATGCGTGGTTTTGCAAAGAGAAAATATACGCGTATTGTATTTAAATATTGATTGGATATTCATATGCTGTGCCTTTAAACAAGTGGACATACTTTCCTGATGAGGCCATTATGGACGTGACCGTCTATGTCCGTGTGAATCCACGTGGTGGCATTGTAGGGCCGTAATTTAAAACGCACGTGCACAGACTCTCTTCTGTATTAACGTTGTTCTGAAAGATATAAGTAACAACATAAATAAGCAGACAATCAACCTTCCCACAGTTTTCTTATGTGTTGTGGTACTTGTATTCTCCACAATAACGCTAATGATTACTTTGTTATGTAGAGACCAGTTTGCGTCAAATTAGAATCCTATCTAACGGTGTTGTTTTTGGGATTTGCAACAATCCTCAAGATAACTCGGATGTGTTTTAGGGTGGTACTGTGTTCGACAGGATGGCCAACGTCCTGTACCTCGTGAAGAAGAACATTATGCACACGGAATGTTCTTTGTGTTTTTTTAACGAGCAGGATGCACGCCCGTTTGAAGTGACCGTCTGTCCAGCCAGCCAAACTTTTTTTCAAATATACGCGTATAAAGTTCCCGTCGTTGAACAACAGTCCTCTCCCACCTCCAACGTCCTCATTTCCCCACCCCTACGTACCCTCTCTCTCTCTCACACATGAGAACCGCCAGGCACCCCGTCTACCCACAACTCCCCGTGCCCCCCTCACCCTCCGACAGGCCCCCACACACCCCCTACCCGCATTGCCACTCGGTGGCCGCGCACTCCCATCACGCACCCCCCACACGCGCATCAGTTACCCTCTGTGTGACATATGGCCTCCAGCCAGCAAGAACGTGCGTTGGGCAGTGCGTGGCCAGCCAGCAAAACTTATTTTAAAGTAATAAAAGAGTACAAATCAGCAATTATCATATCGTATACAATATTCCTGTTCTGGACAGCCACTCCGGGAAGTGCGGGGATGAGTAAGAGGCCAGGGGATTCAAACGAGAAGGAGCGAGACAGGGAAGATGTGAAGGAGATGGTTAGGGGTGGACAAGAGGGTACAGCAGAGAATTGGAGTTGCAGAACAATAGAAGCACGTGCTGCGGAGAGTGGAGTTTGCAGAACAATATAAATACGTGCGGCGGAAGTGGACTTGCTGGAACATAATCTGGCTTCTCAACGAGACACGTGTGGACCTAATTTTGACAGTGTACAGCATGCATATTGTACATGGTTTTGTGTCTTTATGAATGTAAATTTGCAGTGGGATTTGTTTCGTAGCAATTTTAAAGTTATTTGTACTTCTTCCGGAGCTTTATTTATATACCTCTGCTTTTTGTGTATTGTGATGATTTACACTTTTTAAGCGTTGTATGCTTATATAAGAGATTGCGTTCTTTTTCAATCATCATCTGAGATGTCCACTTCTGGATAAAGGACTCCCAAAGTCAATGCTATCCCTCCTCACGGTTCTACAATACAACAATCCATCTAGCTCCTGCACAGATGCTGATCTTATTGCTCTATCTCTGCTGTAGCAACTGCTTTGGCTGTTATTCTATCACGAGAATAGTTATCACACCTGTCAATGTGTCGTGCCCAAACTCACATTTATTAGAAGTCAATCTGATTTCTCAAACATGTGTAGTGACACTTGGGATGTCACTGTGTGGTGCTGGCCCAGGAGGGCCGTGGCGTACGATGTACTTACGTCGCGGACAGCACCGGGTGGGTTTCTGAGTGAGGCCGGCTCTAGCATAGTACAGCGTGCGATGCATTGTCATCGCGTACACCCCGTAGGTGGGTGTAGTACCAGCCCCAGCGGGGCTTGGTGAGCAGTGGGACAGCGCGGGCACCACGCATGGCGTACAGTGCGGGCTCCAACAA